TACAAAAAACACATAGAGCAATAAGAGAGGTTCAACCCACTCGAACAGGGTAAGCACATGGTTGAAAAGAGAATTGAAAGAGCTTTCTAACGCTATGCAGGAGTACGGCGTCCAACGAATATTCATTGATATTCGAGTACATATCTTGAATTGCTAATGTACAGTTATAACCGTCTTTTTTTGCTTCGCCCACGCTATACAATATTTACCATACTTGTCCTCAATGCTACATTTGTAGTAACATGATCAGTGTTACTGCTAGTAATGCTAGTAGGCAGCCACTGTTGATATTAAGTGGACAATCAATATCCTCAAATTTGTAGCTTGGTAAAAGTTTCTCTACTGCTATCTGCTGCCTTGATAGTAGTAGGCATATCCTTGTCACAAAGTTTTGAAATGACATCCTACCAATTGGTGGTCCTACAGTTGTTCTCAAACAACMGAAGTATCAATTTTGTGACTCGTGTTCTTAACTATGTTCCCACCAGAATGACAGTATCCATATCCTCCACTGTATCTCATGCCAGTTGAATTTCTTGGTATTGGAATCATAGTAGTAGTACCACTATCTTCTTATCTTTGAGGAAGGCAATGGCAACTATCTATTGGATTCCTAAGAAGTATTTCCATTGGAACTTTGCCAATCCTCATTGGTAAAACACTACTATCACCAGACCAACACCACCAAGTTATACCATGATATTTTAATGGACCACATTTCTCACCAGCATTGGTATTTTAATGGACCACATTTCTCACCAGCATTGGATCTCAGATCAAGATCTCAATTTAGATTCATATTCCCTGTGGTTTTAGGAGCCTCCTTGTTTCAAATATTTTTGTGTTATATATTGCTCTGTTGGAACAAAGCAACAAAGCTTTTCATGGTCACACTGTTCTCTTCCAAAAGCAGGCCTCACACCAATCATGCTTAATAAATAGAGTCAGACATGTTGTTTTGTCTAACCTAAGCCACTCTGTTCCCCCTGATCCTGAAGCTTTCCTATCCAGTGTCCACCAATTTCCATATTGTACTAGTACTATATAGGAGTTTCTGAAAAAATCTACCGGAGTATTCAAAATGCTGCTACTATTTCTACTAGTACTGGTGCCAATAGTTGTAATGCCAATCTGATTTCTCAGTACTTCCTCTTCCCTATCATATTGACTACTAGTAGGACAATAATTGCCAACAACCACTTGCTGAGAGCATCACTCAAGATTTGTTGGTCTTTGATACATACTCCAAAAAAGAGACAACAATAGTACTTTAAATAATTCCAGCATGCATTAGTATCATATCTGTCCTACCCCACTCATCCTTCTCCAGGACTCCTATCCCTCCCCACAGTAGCTAGTACTAGGGGGAGCAGACAAAGCAACAACACTAAATATTTTTAAAAATATTATGCAATACTCATATGGTGTTTCTTTGGCTAGTTTTGGGGTTTGGTCCACCACTGTTTTGATGGGTTTTTGTTGGCTTKTGACAATTTATCAAGCCTAAGGGATGGGATTCTCTTCCATGATGTAAATGTAACTACCAGTTTTATTTTGAGATGAAGACCAACCATGACAATGACTCCTCGTTGGTGTAGTAGTTGTTGTCGTCTCATTTCCTGATGGCTGAATGTTGGAGCCTGTCAATGTTGGTGTTAACATTGCTATGCTCTGGGTTGCTGCTCCCCAACTTCTTGTTGGAGAGGAACTGCTGCTGGCAGCATTTCTTGTAGTAGTAGGACTCAAACTTATCCAACAACAAGACACTGGCTGGTACATMATGTCTGTTGTAGCCAAGATAGCCAAAGCTGTCCATGATTACTGCTGTTGGGTTCTATTTGATGCTGGAATGACTGCTGATCAAAATAATGACTGAATTTTTGGAGTCTTGGAAGGATTTAGATTCTYTTACATTTTGGAATAACCAATCACAAATGTAACTGAGGATYTATATGTGTCTTGGGAACAATGTTGTTGTTCTCCTAAACATTGAAATGACCATTCACAAATATTTAGCTCTCTTAMATATTGGAATGGCTGATTGCTGTCATGACAATGACTAAATGTTTTACTAGTTAAAAATGAAGAATAGTCYGTTTTTTRTCAAGGTGTTACCACTAATKTATTTGTGATTGTGGTGTAATGAGGTCTACATGGTGGATTCTACACAAAAACATTTTTTTGTTTCTTCTGGAGTCCAGACAAGCATTGATAATTCTTCAAGGTCACCAGTGGCTCCTRTGCCCAAATGAAAGTGGTTGTCCAATGCACCGTAGCCAATTTTACAACATCTCTTTATTCATTACATTCCACTACAAGTACTAGTAGAAAGAAAATGAAGCAGATACATTTTTTCCTGAAGGGACTTTCTGTATTGAAGATTTTTACCGTGCCAGGGGGCATGCTATCAGGCAATAGTGTGGTAYTACTAGTAGGAGGAATGATGACTTGCTAAGGCCCTAAAGAGGGAGAGGCCAAGAGAAGGAGTCTTTATGTAAGAATAATTTCTATGGCTTAGTGTTCTTGCTTATTATATTRGAAAAAATCTACTACAACAGTTTGTTGTATTGTAGGAATGGTCAATACACTTGAACTCCCAATACTTAAGTTTGTAGCAACTTTAAATCCACCAAGTCCATACTAAATGCATGTAATTGTTATTAAACTTGATGTACTACTAGTACTATTAGGTAGTACTTGTGTTTAGTGCACAATTCTTTTTCATAGCAAAGAGGGCACTACCTCTTGTTCTAAGCATCATGCTCCCTCTCTTTCTCCTCATCTTCCTCTTTCTTCTTCATCTTCATCTTCATCTTCATCCTCATCCTCCTTCTTCTTGGTTGTGGTGGTGGTGCTTGTTGTGTTCTTGTTGTGTTCTTGTTGTTGCCTCTTGTCCTTCTGCTGTTTCTTCCTTTTTCATCATCTCCTACTACTTGTAGTAATGGCTACAAGATCTCTCCTTTGTTACCCTCCTCTTCATCACCAGGATACTATGTCTGTAAAAAAGTAGTTTGCCCACAACACAATCTTGTTTTTGTTTCACCCCACAACAAGGACTACAAGAAAACAGCACTCACCAGCAGATTAGTAGCACCTACCAGCAGTAGTACTACTAGTACTAGTAGCAACAATTGTAAAACTCTTCCTCTAGTACCTACTACTTCTACTACCACCAG